AAAGCCGTTCTACACGCAATGCCAACAGCCCGGCCACAGGCTTCAGAATGAAACCCGGCTCCGCCGCAGCTCGGGGGCACTTAAGAGCGTCGACCTTGCGGCGTGGTAACGATTCGGCACCGGGGCGAGGTTACCATGGCTCTGAGCGTAACAGAGCGGCCGGCCGGCCACGGCCGTGCGGTCAGGGTCGATCGTGCAACACGACCCAGGCGTGCCCCGCGGCGACGGAGGCTGGCAGCCCATGTGGGCCACGCCGGCCGCCCCCGGCCCGGGGGCAGGGCGCACGCCCCAGCTAAGTGTGGGCACCATCTCGGACGACAAACGACGCCTTCCGATGGGCGCGGCAGGTCAAACGGACAGCATCGCCCTCCGCGGAAGCGTCCGAGTACACTGTCACTGGCTGTGCCTGAGACCCTTCATTACGCCCCGCGCTGTCCAGTCCCGCAGCGCGACTGACCGAAGGGGATCGGGCCGCGCAGCCGGCCGGCCGCGGACGCCCCGCGGTAGCTGCCGCCGAGCGAGCATCAAAAATACATCCCGTTTATCACCGGGTCGATGCGTCTTACCGATAATGGCGGGCCACGTTTTATCGAATGCCTGCGGCGCGCGCGCGGCCGCTGGCGCCGGATCGGGCGCGATGTGACGCGCGGGTCGGTTCGTGTGTGACGTGACGTGTAGTGTCGGGCGAGACGTGGCGTGACATGACGTGCAGTGTCGTATCGGACGTGACGTGTCCCGGCCCTCTCGACACGGGGACAATAGTGCACCCCGGCCGCCCCGTCAGCCGACCGGGGCGGCAGGTCACCGTCACACGCACTGACTGGCTGAAGCAAAGCGTAACGGTGTTCGCGTGATGACGCTTTCGTAAACATCGTGTCTTTTGCCACATATCTATCAAGCGTTGTTCAAAGCTACGACACTTTAAACTCCTCACAGCTTGTTAATGAAATAAAGAATAAAAGTAGCATTGTATTCTATGTTGCAGGCCAACTTTTACGTGCTGACTAACGACGGGAAACTATAAGTTTTTACTACTGCAAGTCAAGACATCATTTTCCTTCAATTCGTAGAATTTTTATGTTTCAACTGGCTCATCATAGGCAGCAGAACTGAACACATTTTTATTTCTAGTTCGAAGTTTTTGAGTGGATGGATTTCGATCATTAGCGCCCACACTGACGAGTACCTATTGGTTGGACCCTGACCCTACCATCCGACCGTGAAATTCCGGCAGGACTTGCGGCGAAAGCTTAACGTCCCGTGATGCTCGGCGCGGTTCGTCCTGCCCGTTGATGTCCACTGCCCTGTAGCGCGGGCCGCTGCCGCGGCCATGGTCGCAGGCCATTCCAGTCAGCGGAAGATCGCAGGCTCCTAAAGCGACTTGAAGCGGGGCAAGCATGCACACTCGCCGCCACTTAAGACGTTTTGACAGTGCAAATTTACGGAAAGGTACTCTTCGCTTTTTCTGAGATCTGGAAGGGCATTATCCGGGTCAATCCGGCTCCGAACAGCTCCCCCATAACTGAACAGTAGTACAAGGATCTGATCCAGAAGAGGCTACTGCCTGCGGTCCAGCAGAGGCGGCTCAGTCTAGCCTGGAGATACTGCCTGCGGTCCAGCAGAGGCGGCTCAGGCTAGCCTGGAGCTACTGCCTGCCGTCCAGCAGAGGCGACCCAGGCTAGCCTGGAGTTACTGTCTGCGGTTCAGCAGAAGCGGCTCAGGCTAGCCTGGAGCTCCTGCCTGCGGTCCAGCAGAGGCGGCTCAGGCTAGTCTGGAGATGCTGCCTGCGATCCAGCAGAGGCGGCTCGGGCTAGCCAACAGTGTCCTACCGATTCACCCCGTAAAACGCGTGTCGTGATGGATTCCTGCTCGAGAAGCATGTTGAAACCGTCCTGCGCCTGCCCTACTAGGCACTGCGCCTGCCCTACCTGGCCCCATCAGACCGTTGTGCCTGTCTGGAACTATGAAGGACCGCGTCCGTGGGTGTCACTAACCGGCGTCGAAAGCGCTCAGAACCGTCATCCTCCAGCAGGATGGAGACATCCAATTGAAGAGTTTCTATAGAACTCTTGGAATGATAGGTAAAATAATACAACATAATGAAATAATGGAGTCAGGCGAAACGGTGAGAACGTTTTCTGAAGAAGCAGAGGAATTAGGCTGAAAATATATGAAGTTTTGGCCCTCTGCATTAATAAATATATTTCTGTAAGCAAAATGTGTATTATTTTCGGGTAGTGCCGTTTACCCGGAGAACGCCCCCGCACATAAACTAATATGCAATGATGTCATGCGACCTTGATATACGACCTCCATTTTGAGTTATATATATATATATATATATATATATATATATATATACATCATCCTTAAACACAATTAATTTAAATCATTCTTCAGCGCAATTTTTTCGATGCGATTTTCAGCTGAAGCAGGTAAAGGCGCAGGCAGAGGGGTGACAACTAGAAGTAAGATGTGGTGGGCAAAACAACTAAATGCAGATTCGCACTACGTCATTAAAACTTAAAACTCACTGAGCTCGGAAACAAATAATTGCGCAACAACCGCACCGCAGTCTTAAGTAATGCAGCCCGTTCGGTTCCTTTTATCTATCTAATGAATGAAACTAGTGCTACCGCTGGAATTGTGATACTCAAACAGTTCATTCCCATTGAAACAAACAATACCTAATAATGGCAGAGCATTCACTTATGTCAGTGCGCATGTTGCAAGAACCCTTATTGCATGCAAGTTGCATTGACCTATGGGTTTAAGGCGACGGCTCGTTGACCGATGTCGCGCTTGCTTGTGAGCTGACCAGGTGGAAACCCTTGTGACCAAACTGGCCCCCGTACCATTATCAGGCAGCGGACCTCCAGCCCTTTAGAAGCAGTCACGCCGTCGTCGACAGCACTGCAGCTCGTCTACCAAAATAACACAAAAATCACGGGTTTGCGAGGAGGGACAGTCATCTGCTACATCCAGAGTGCTGTCTCCCGCACTGAGGGTGCGGCAAGGTCGTGAGGAAGGTGTGTCGCACCTCTGCCGCCTGCAGCAACGCCTTCGATTCTCTCTGGCACGTGTCGTGACGGCCTCCCCACTAACACTGCGTGCGTGCCATCTGCGCCACTCAGTCACTCCAGGCGACGCTCCGGCCTTCGTGGAAGTGTTGACAGCGGTCCGCCGTCGGCGTAGTCAAAGGGCAAACGTGTCGTCACAACCGGTGCAGCCGAGCCGCCTCAGAATCGATACACGCAGGGTCGCGGCTGGGAAAATCAGCAGGGACTGACTCATGTTCACGCAGACAGTGACTCACCGGCGCCCCTCAGCTCACCTGACAGCATGACCACGTTCTCCCACTTTCCCAAGGTCTACAAATACTTTCGAACTGACGTGGAGCAAACAGCGCAGGCCACCCTACGCAGCGCTGAAGGCAGGGTTTGTTCGCACGCGGCTGGCGCTGCAGGCAGGTTTGTTCGCACGCGGCTGGCGCTGCAGGCAGGTTTGTTCGCACGCGGCTGGCGCTGCAGGCAGGTTTGTTCGCACGCGGTTGTCTCCTGAGTATCACACAGCAATCAAACAAAATGGTCTCCACCAGACCGACCCCGGGTACATGCACGCCAGGCCGACCCGCGAGGCCCAGTCTGGGCTCCTGACCGAACAGCGGTTTAAGATTAGGACATAGCTGTTTCGGGCCAGGAAATGGCGATTCAATTAAGTGTTTATTTTGGCACCGAAAGGCGTACGGTTTCCCTTTGGGAGGCGAAAGGGAAGATCTTTATATTCTAGATCGCTTCTCGTGAATAAGTTACAAAAGTGTGATGCATCTCCTCATGCGACATGAAGGACGTTATGTAAGTACACAATCAGATAAGATCAACCAACAATTAATCAGGCAACAGGGACGCATATACGTATGTCATGAAAACTGAGTGAACGAGGAAGCCGAGGCAGTAAGAAAGACACCCATTCAGATACATACGGAAAATACAAAAAAATTAAGGCAAAAAACTTGCATGTTGAAACCAGTACGGCATTAATGCTATACTCTATTCTGATGAGCAAAGCATACTCTGTTAGATTTGTCTACGCCTTTCAATTTCGGGCTCCTATCATCTCCCTACAAACTCTCGAAATGTCGGGTCCAGTTCTCAGTGGTTGCTAACTAAGTGGTCTGCCGAGACAGGTAGACGGTCTGCCGGAAATGACAAGACGCAATGCAGGGACCATGTACGGTGCACGGAATCCCGCAAGGCATCAAAATTTGCACTGCGGCCATTCCGCCGCAGCCTAGAGCAGAGGCGGGGCCGTCGCACGCGCGCTCATCCTAAGTCCTGTCCACTGGGAGACCGTTCTGTTCGCGCGGTGATGAGCTGTACACTGGACCGGCGAGGGAATGGCGCTGTACGACAGGACCGCCGACCTGCTCGCGCTGGTGGGTGAGCTGCTCACAACAGCGGGTGGGCTCCTCCCCCAGCGTATGACCTGCACCCAGCAGTGGCTGAGCTGCACCCCAACAGTGGCTGAGCTGCACCCAGCAGTGGCTGAGCTGCACCCAGAGTTAAGTGACGTGCTTCCACCAGTGGGTGATGGTGAGCGGTCTACTTCCACCAGTGGATGCGCTACTCTCAGCATCAAATGATCTGCTCCCACCAGTGTCAGTGAGCTGCTCCCATCAAGTTGTAACCTGCTCCCACCAGTGAATGGAGACAATGGATGCTCCCATTGTGTATGCTCATGGCATAAATCTTCTTTTTCCTTGGAAATTGAGCACCTCACCATCCTGGTCCGGCTCTTGCGAGGTGGCCGGGCCTTTTGTCCATTAACGTAAACCCAATCTAGGAACATGTGACGCAGGCGCGGCTATAACCGAGCAATGCCAGCTTTGCGATCTGGCCCAGCAGCTCCAGTCGGACAGCGCCAACCGTGTGGCAACCGAGCAACCCTCTGTGCCGTGTGCGACCGCTGCACCTCGCTGAAATGTGATGCCACTGGCATACCTCGCAATCGAGCTTCTTCTCTCGTCCGTTCATCGGTCGACATCTTACGAGCACCTTGACAGACTCCGCCATTGTTGCAGGCTGAAAGAGGAAGTCAAGTCAGCCGACTAGGCCGCGAGAATGCGTGCACCTATCAAATAGCACAATGGAAAATGACAGAAACATCGTCCCAATTCACAGAGGCCGTCACACGCTTTCGCTTCTGTTGTGGGAACAGAGACGAGCTGGCGTCTACATAACGTGGCACGCAGATACCATGGCGCAGACAGGACTCCCAAAAACAATTTTTGAACTGGCTTGAACTGATTTCGAAGTCAAGTTTCCTCATCCTTTTACGTGGAGAGAGCAAATTTATTGAATGGTACCGGTGTCATGCATAGGGTAAGTAGGCGGGTGCCTACAATCATTTGTGTCTGCATGTTTACAAGGTTCCACAGCGCAAAGGTGGAAAATCGTGGTGCTACAGTGCATTGCTAGCTCTGGGAACACCGGTCTTCTTATCCAGTGGCTCTCAAGGTGCACAGGAGCTAAATATGCACGTCATTAACGGTTGTGACATGCGTTTGGCTCATTCGTGGGCAGATCAGGTCCTGGGAACTTCTGGGGCATAATGTCAAGTTAGCTTTCAAACTTGTGAAATTATGAGCCGCATCAACTGAGAAGCAATGTAAAAAGGCTCCGCACTCACGGCCACATCAATTCAAGTCTTCAAATCCGCCCAATGTATAAAGGTGAATTTAGATATTGAGTGCCATTAAGAATTCATACATTCACATACGGAGCATTATGGGTGGCCACGGAATAGCTTCAGAAGGCCTCACATTACCCCTTGTGGCTAAATGAACGCGAACTGACTTACTTGCATGTCAGCTCTGCTTTGCGGGCGCGTGTGACGTTATTTAAAAGGCGTAAAGAACTGGCGTGATCCCGCTTAACCCGGCCGAACAAGTCAACTGCACCAGTTATTGCAACATCACTGGAGTAGATCTTGTAGTTCACCTGCAGGGCTACCAAAGAGTTTGTATTATTCTTTAGTTCGTGAGTTGTAAAATGAGCTAAGCGGTCGCAATCCCCTTCCCCCTCTCCCCGTGGCGTAGAAGGTAACGGAACACTGGGCGTTGGGAAGTTTAAGTGACATTGAACGGAACATTTGGTTTGGAGTCAAACAGGACATGCTCTTACCTGAGCTTACATCGGTGGTGCAATGCTACTGATGCTCGTTTGGCGTAGATTATAGACCTTAGGTCACGTCTTGCGCTGCCATCGTAATAAACTTCCAAAACGTAACAGAGCTCGTCGATGCTGACAGTTGTCTTCACATAGTGTTTGTCGATGTTGTCACGTTCTTATAAGCAACAGTCACTGAAATAAAGACCGCAGTGGTAAATGCAGGCAAACAACACAGCCGATATCGCTAACCTTTGTTGCATCATTTTAAGAAATAACTTAAAACAAACAGTGATCCTTAAAGCAGCCGAAGTTCTGGCATGAGCACGGACTGAGTAAATACAGGGCTAAAATAAAGCCTAGCCACTTCGATCATGAATATTTCGTATGGATACAATATTCTTGGTTCATAAATCATTAATAAAGCTGCATTTTTGTGAACCTGAATTCAAGAAAGATTCATTGATACTCAACACACACATACACCTCCGAACCCAGCCAACGGTGGCAACTTAATTGTGTGTGCTGAATGCTACTGCTTAATAGCCGCACCTTTCCAGGATTTTTGGCCGTTAGAGTTAAACAGTGAAGCTGTTTCTACTTCAAAGTTCGATTTGTGTTTTGATACCGCAATGAGGATGTTAGCATTAGTGGGTCGTTTGGAAACATGCAATAGCCTTTTTATGTTTCATTTAAAGGGAAATAATATTTCCTGTGCTTTGGCTTCAGTGTTATATCAGAGGCGTTCCATTTGATAGGTAACACCATTTTCTCAAAATCAGTTCTGAATTCCTCAGAAATCTTATTTCAAGTAGCCGCTTCGGCGGGAGAAATTTCATTGGACTCCCTGCTGACCCCTATGAAAGTAATACCTATTATTTGCCTTGTTTTTCCCTCTTCTGTTATGCTTGCAATACACCAGTCCGTCAAAATGTTTGTGTGATAAATGCTGGGAAATCTTGAAACATTCTTTTCAGGAAAGTTATGCAAACAATGAGCTATTATCACGCATATTCAACGAAACGTTGGACCAAGGCTTTGATTTCTCCATTTTCACAACAGCGGTTCTTTTCGAAGCACACACTAGCTTTGGAAACCGGAGCATCTCATGATATATAGTGACGCACTAGTTCAAATTTCAATCAATGCGCTTCTCGGCGATCTCCCTCACAAGCGATCTCTTGTACTGACGTCATGCATACTCGTAGGGATGCCACTTTTAAGACCGTAGACCCACAGTGTGAGGGACAAAACAGCTCAGAAGTGGTACCTCTAGTAGAAAACAGCTAACGACGACCCTCAGCAGATTCTACCGTCATGACGACTGCAGCCATAACTGCCGTGGTCACGGGGATACCAAAAAACGAAGAAGTGTAGTGCTGTGACAAGACGCTGAGAGCGTTCTTTTGATTCGAAAACAGTCAACAAATGTCCCCTCATTGTAGTTTGACGGTGCTGCAGGGGTACTACAAAAGGCTATTCCTGCACGTGACTGACCCTCTGGTTTCAGCGGAGCATGTGCGTGAAATATGCCCCAAAGGCCGGGCACTTTCTTGAAGTGCCGTTGACCGGGGCACTATACTACATATGCTGGTTAGTGCACGCCAGCCAACAGACCATGAACAGTTGTACCTCATCAGCAAACGGCACTGCCAAAATTCAGACCAAAACGTTCTTCAGGGGCTGCACATTTGCTCAGTATGCTTGCCAATGCCTTCTCAGGATACGGTTAAGCCTGCTCTTGTGTACTGTCGGTGCCTGTGGAATCCTTCAGCAGATCAGACCAGAGGTGAGCTTTCAGCTTGGTTTTGGAATGGTATTCGCACGTTTCATTTGGATGTTCGAAATTTGTACACAAGTTGGTAACAATGAGGTGAATGCATGGTGGTTCGGATACGCACAAACACACAAATTGTATTTGCCATGCGCAATCACTAACGTCGGGTCAGTGACAAAAACCACTGAGGGGGAGAGAACTACACAGCGTGGCTATCTAGAGTGATCGTACTGTTCAGATGGCATAATCCTAGCTGCCAGTTTTCTTTCCTAACGCTTCCGGAAAGAGATGTCGTTTGTTCTGGCGCCGACAGGGTAAGACACCTCTCGCGAGAGGTCGATCACACATCCTGGTCATTTGGAACTGGACATGCAAGTGGTCCAGATGCTGATCACTGACGATCGCATCGGGGGCGACGTCTGGTGCTGCCATCGGTCATCCCATACCGAATCCTCAGTGAGATGCCCCGCTTCATGCACCTTGTATGACGCCTGGTCGAAGCGCTTGATGAGATTGACATCAAGCCCCCCATGTATATCATAGTAGTGACGCCTGCAGGGTCTGGGCCTTGCTATGCGTGCTATGATGCCTATCTGCGGCACCGCCGTGCAGCCAGCACGATGATGCTGAACATCACCGTCATCTGATGTTAACTGATAGCGACATCCAACGTCGCCGCCACCTGATGACGACATAATCTGGGGATGACTTACGTCTCCGTTATGTCAATAGGTGGCTCCTATTTGCTTCTGGGGTGGTCTCAGTTTCTGTGCGTTCCGGGCTCTGGTGCCATGTCATGGCATGGCATGCCATGTCCGGTGGCACGTCATGGCATGACAGGCTTGGCCCTAACCGCCACGGGGCCCGGGGAGGCCGGGACCAAGGCAGGTTCTGGGAAGAACGGTTATTGCATATGTTGTGTTTTGGCCATAAAAGCGGCGTCAACAAGGCTCGAGCTACGACCAACTTCATGGTGGGGTTACGCCCCCAGTCCAAAGGGCCTAAGCCCAAACTTGTCCAGGTCACTCACCAGTTACCGATCGGTGCCCCTGTGCGGGGTGCGGACCGCACCGGTCCTATATTGGTCCACTGTCGATGTTCTGACAGCACTCCCCACACCACGACGTGCGCTCCCCTCCGGAGCCGGGGCACAACTGTTGTCACATGGCTCCCAACGTCAACAAACGGTTGCCATGGACAGTGGTGCAGCCTGTGGGTGGGGCGACGAACTAGGCTCACCTGGTCGGCCGGGCCGACGAAGCCGAGCCGTGCAAATACAACAGTGTCCGTTCATGCATCGCTCCCTCGCCAGCATATGCCGTCCGGTTCCCTGTTGGGTAATGCAGCACTGGGCCCTCGAGCCCCGGACTGGAGTTCGCAGGCGACTCGCATGAATCTACTTAACGGAACGATGCTGGTAGGTCCAATGACAGCGGTGTGGAGAAGCCCACGTAGTGAATGGGTGAGTAATTACGAGTGATCCGTCACCGTGGCGTCGGCGTCCAAGGCCGGGTCGTCACGCGGATAATGCGCCTCGTAACCCAATTAACCAGACAATGCGACGCTAGGACGGGCCAGGGTTCCACTCCGGCGAGGAAAGCTGGCGCTGGCTCCTCAAATGCAGCCCAAGTGACGCTGGGTGTGGACCACGAGAGTCGTGGGGCCTTCTGCTGGCGAGATCAGTTGCTTCGCTTTGTTGCACGGGACCCAGTTTAGCAGCATTGGTGCACGATAACGGTGGTCTGACGCTCGCAACGAACAGCCGTCCGAATCGTCCCTGATAAAGCATGAGGCAGAAGGAGCAGCAATATCCATATGGTCGTGACGCCACGAGCCACTGAATTCGCAAGAAGTCATTTACTCAGGCCCGTAAAGGCTTCATGAGTGTTGTTTTAAGAAAATAGGTTTCACCAGGCATGACTTCAGTCCAGGCCAAACACGTGCAAAGATCTGTAACACTTGTACAGTGGCCTGTTCGAGCCGGAACTGGGCTGCTCCAGCGACTGGGAACAAGGGCGTGTCGCTGCGCTGTTTCGGGTATGGGCCACCGCTGCTCGCCCTCAAAGAAGCTACCACAGCCATCTTGACCTCCAAGTCAGCGCGAACATGATGAGACCGATGAAGACGTCTCAATACAGGGACCGGCCATGTCTGTCAGAACACTGGGCTGCGGGGGCGTGTGTCTGTGCAGCAGCTGTGACCTGTCTGAGAACGTCACCACCCAGCTCTAGGGGTAGCCTCGGGTGGACGAGCTGTTCAACAGACTGTTGGTGCGGGAATGCTTACCAAGCTGATCCCGGCCGAAGCCTACCTACATGCCGAGCTGGACGAGCCCACGATGCGATATCTGGCCATCGACACCCACGAAGGCCTGTTCCAGCAATCACGCCTGTGATGTGGCGTAAAGGGGGCCGCGGCGCTCCTCGACACACCGTGTCGCCGTAGCAGCGAGGGCATCCCAAGTATGGCGGCTCATGTGGACATCTCTGCCACCACCTCAACACCAGCGGAGCGCGCGTCTAGAGTACGCGGAGCCCTGGTGCTGGAGTGCGTCTCGCGTGCACAGAGCCCTGGCCCTGGAGCGTGTCTCGTGTGCACGGAGCCCTGGTGTTGCAGCGTGGCTCGCGTGCACGGAGCCCCGGTGTTGGAGCGTGTCTCGTGTGCACGGAGCCCTGGTGTTGAAGCGTGTCTCGCGTGCACGGTGCCACGGTGTTGGAGCGTGTCTCGCGTGCGCGGAGCCCTGGTGATGGAGCGCGCTTCGCGTGCACGGAGCCATGGTGATGGAATGCGTCTCGCGTGCACGGAGCCCTGGTCCTGGAGCGCGCCCCGTGTGCGCGGAGCCCTGGTGCTGGAGCGCGTCTCGGAAGATCGCCTGGAGATCGACGAGACAAACTGCGTGGGGCTCGCTTCGCCGACGGAGTCGAGAACCTAGGCTACAGAACTTCGCAAGACAAACGTTTAACCAGCGCAAGAGGAGGGTCGCGCGGTCCGAGAAGCCCCCTAGCCCGTCAGCTTGCGGCAGCCGCGCTCCCACCTGGGAGTGCCGCGGTCCTACAGCCGCGCTCCCACCTGGGAGTGCCGCGGTCCTACAGCCGCGCCCCCACCTGGGAATGACGCAATCCTACAGCCACGCTCCCACCTGGGAGTGCCGCGGTCCTACAGCCGCGCTCCCACCTGGGAGTGACGCAATCCTGCAGCCACGCTCCCACCTGGGAGTGCCGCGGTCCTACAGCCGCACTCCCACCTGGGAGTGCTACAGTCCTACAGCTGCTTCCCGCGCACCTCGCTGACGCTGCCCTGTATGCCGGGCAAGGGAGGGACGCTGTCTGGACCTGAACATATACCGAGACGGACGCGTTCGCTAACGAAACGCCCGCTGACCTCTGCACCGGCCTTGCTGCACTACCCACCAGATGAGCCGCTCGTGACGCCCACGGACGCTAGCTTGTGCGGCGTGGCTGCCGCCCTGAGCAATCCCGACGCTGACAGCGGGGACGGCGTGGCTGCCGCCCTGAGCAATCCCGACGCTGACAGCGGGGACGGCGTGGCTGCCGTCCTGAGCAGTCCCGACGCTGACAGCGGGACGGCGTGGCTGCCGCCTGAGCATCCCGACGCTGACAGCGGGGACGGCGTGGCTGCCGTCCTGAGCAGTCCCGACGCTGACAGCGGGGACGGCGTGGCTGCCGCCGCCCTGAGCAATCCCGAACTGACAGCGGGGACGGCGTGGCTGCCGCTGAGCAGTCCCGACGCTGACAGCGGGGACGGCGTGGCTGCCGCCCTGAGCAGTCCCGACGCTGACAGCGGGGACGGCGTGGCTGCCGTCCTGAGCAGTCCCGACGCTGACAGCGGGGACGGCGTGGCTGCCTCCCTGGGCAATCCCCCACGCCAGCCACGGCCTCTGTGCCGCCGAACACAACTACAGCCAGCTGGACACGGAGGCATACGGCGTTGATCTTCAGCATTATCGAGTTCCACCTGTCCCTGCACGGCCGTGCCTTGATCACCAGGGCCAGACGCCAGCATGTGCTCAGCCTGCCTGGTCTGGGCGGCTAGGCGGTGTCTCTCACCGTCTCGCCGGGAGCACTCCGTTGGCGACTTCAGAGGATCCGACTGTGTACGCGCACGTGACTTATGCCTGCAGAACGTCACTGGGATTTAAATCCGCATTTGAGGCAAATGACATAAGGTCAGAAATGAGTGTCTCGTGAAAAAGCTTAGCAACGCGATGCTACCGGGGCATTGACGTTTGCTTTGGGCCCACTGCCCCCTAGCGGAGAGGGAATTTACGTGCCACCTCCTTCCTTTCTGATGTTTTTGAGTTGCAAAGGGTTATGTATACGGACAAAGCATCATTCGATAGTTCATGCAAAACAAAACAACATGTGCTGAGACCATGTCAGTCTTTGAGATCGGGCTTTAGGTCAAATCAGGGCAAGTTATACTTTCATGCATAAAACACCTTGCCTTCAGACTCACATAAATGGAAGACAACTAAATAAGCCAGAATAATATTTCATCCTTTTTTTTGCAATCTCCTAACGTAGCATTCCCAAGGGGCCACGCCGACCGGGCTGGCGTCCGTGGTTACCACTAGCTGCCCATCTGTTGGGTAGTGCACCAGGACCGGCGCACAGGCCAGCAGGTGCTTCGTTTCAGCGAGGGCGTTCTTCTCGGTATATCGCCAATTGTAACTTTCCAATGTCATATACTCAAATTATTTATGCAGCATATTTGTATTGTAAGTTATAATTTTCCGTTCTCATCAGATTTATTTCTCTCCAAACACTGTCTCTTGAGCCTTTTGATGTAAAATTGCCTATATAGTACGCTTTAAGAAATGTGTATATACCATTGGTCGAATCCCATGTATGGCCAATGTGGTCACTATTCCAGTATGATATACTTCGTGTATCGTTATCACTTCGAGGTGTAAGTGGCACTATGAAGTAAAATAGAAAATGGGACCGATATCTACCATGTGCTTGTCCGATACACAGATATCGGATATCTATGAGAACCGATATCTACTACATGTTTCAAGGTGCTTCAGAATAGACACAGCAATGTCAAGTGAGGTTAGTGAACTATGGTGACATCTGACGACAAAATGCCACTGATAAGCAATGCTTTTGGATAATGTCATTAAAACCCGACAACTCACGCAATACAAGAGATGATGCTACCAAGACCAGGAGTTTAAGATCAAGCTGGGTCAATGACACATGATGACCATAATATATCATTGGAAACTCAAGGAGCAGGATCGTTAGGCAAGCCACTTATAAATATCCCAACATGACCAGATTACAGCGCACGGTCAGAATGCTTCGAGGTCACTCACATTTTGGCCCGACATGCTTGGACAAAAACTGCCCTTGGTCAGTGGTCTGATAAAATAAGTATCTTATAACTTTAAAGCATAAGTGAAACTCGTGGAGCTAACGCATTGCGATCAAAAATGATAAATAACGCTTAATTCTTGAATTGCATGCACTTCAAAGATGTTTTATGCGCTCATTGATCATCTACAGTATTCTGAATTGCATTTGCAATCATTCTAGTAACTTTTCCTCTGTGAATTCATTCAAGGTCAAGTTAGGTCAAACTCTACCGTTTGGGACCAGATTTAATCCTTTGGAAGTCACACCATCTAAATATATATGGCACATACCTTACAGGTCTATAAAGCATTGGCAAAGCTTTTCTCCCCATTAACGTGGCTTGTTTGTTTTGTTTATAGCTGAAGGGGTCAGCGCAACAATCGCCTTCACTCTCTGACCTGGCATGACGTATCCCAGGTCACATGTGTGGGTGTCCTCTTGTACATATGTGACGAATATCTATAAGAGCTATTCAATGCCGTCCTCCGAACAATCAGATCATGTTTAGTTTTTGATACAACAGGAGCGGTGCAGGAGCAAGTGCTAATTTGTCCCTATGTCCAGATTTGACCTGCCAAAGCTTACTCTCGCCATTGTTTAGTCACAACTATCAGATGCAGTTTGATGCGAGCTTTCAATGCCGTTTTTCGCGTGGCTCAAGCCCAGATTTTCATCAGCTTGTGTGATTTCAGGTAATAACGTAGTAAAAATCGTGATCTGAGAGCGACACCTGTGCCGGCCTTTCACACAGACACCGGCCAGCTTTGTATACTCGGTACATGTATACGCTCGCCGGCCCAATACGGCGGCGTGTTGTTTCACCGGGCCAATATGGCGGCGTGTTGTTTCGCCGGGCCAATATGGCGGGTGTGTTGTTTCGCCGGGCCAATATGGCGGCGTGTTCTGGTGCGAGCAGCCGAGACTCACCTTGTGTAGTTGGAAAGAGAATCCAACGCAAAACCTTGATCTGACCGCGCTGCTCCTCAGCAATCTCACTTAGAAATCTGAACTGCTCTCATATCCTAAAAGCCTTCGAAGTTTTCTCTGAAATCACGCCTACACCTTCATGACCTCATGTCAATTTAAGACGTGTTTTCAGGGCCGGCTGGATAATGGCTGCTGCTCAACAGAGCGCTGCTGGGCGGCGACCGACACCCACCAGCCGCCTCCTGCTGGGCGACCGACACCCACCAGCCGCCTCCTGCTGGGCGACCGACACCCACCAGCCGCCTCCTGCTGGGCGGCGACCGACACCCACCAGCCGCCTCCTGGCACGCCGACGGTGAGCAACGGGGAAAGAGCGGTATAGTAGACGAGACGCGGTCATTGTAATGGAGGCAGAGAGCAGCCGCTTGTGCATGCCATCAGTTGCCTGGAAACACGCCAGAATACTCCACAGCCCACACCATTGTATGGTTTCATGTGAATATAGAACTTGGGTATAGAATATTCTGTAGAAACTTAATTTGTTCCGATTTGTTATGGTAAGGCTCAGATGGATTCGTTAATGGTTTTAAAGTGAGCTGGATGGCTCAAATATTTTCCTTCCCTTCATTTACACGCTCCAACGAAAAAAAACGTGAATATCAAGCTCACAATTATCATTTCCCACCATTCAAGGCTCACCTTTTCAGCGGATTCTGGTCTTATGGATCAGCTTCTTCCGCCTCGGCCCTTGCGTGGAGTTCTCCCGTTGCTACCTGTAAATCCGCTGCGCGCCGTTTCGTTAAGCTGACGGCCCTCGCTACACCTCACCTTCTCGTTTTTTCCACACTGCTCATGCGTTTATGTTTGAGCGACCAGTTGCTGACATGCTATATGCATCCGCACACTCTTATTTTGACACTGTGCATTGCACACAGCCCGGTCTTTGTAACACAGCACGTATAAAATTGAGTGCTGTTCCTGTTGGCGATCACATTATAAACACATACATCACGCTGTCACACCATTCATCTGGCCTTTTAAAGGACACTGCATTAGATCACTGCCCACCTCAGTGTATTGTAGCGGCCGTCCACTATATTAAACGGGATCCATATCACATACGCTTGGTGAAAAGGGTAAGGTCCCTTCCCAGAGGCAACGGATGAACTACCACAAACGCATTATATTGATCGCAAAGCAGCACAGCTTTCTGACAAACCATGTCTCTCGCAAAAGACACTCTAAATCCCGTTGCATTATGACTAGATAACGAGACGAAGCAGGCAACGAACGGTGTATATGGGTTCAGTAACACTCACGTATACAATAAATACAGTCAGCCGAGGCTGCATTCAGTGAAGGTACATAGACACTACAAGGGTGAAAGGCATTCAGTGCAGCGCTCAAATGAGATCACAGAAAAACAGCATGCGGGAACAAATGGAAGTATCATAACTAACGTGAAATAAAAAAAACACTGAAGAATGAAATAATCTATACACCATGCAACGCATCTTATACATCGACGAAACCACACTTTCGAACCAAAAATCGTATGGACAAAAATATATGATGCAAAGCAAGGAAACAGGTGGGGGAGCAGTCGCAGACCTACGGCGGCTCAGATCGGGTGCGGTTCACATCACAGACTCCTCCTCCAGCCCGGTTATCACCAGCCGGCGATCAGCTGTTGCTCCAGCGGATAATACATGACCTCCTGAGCGCCGGCCAGCGCTCCTCCGACACCCGTGTCCTCCCGCAGGCACACGCCGACGCCCTGGCCCCCGGGGTGGCTCAGGTAGGGGGGCTCGCCCGACACGCAGCCTAGCGGGCCGGCCTGGGGCTCCCAGGCCGGCTCGGTCGCCGTCAGCGGCGCCGCCACGGACGGCAGCAGCGGCGCCAGCTCTTCCTCGGCCTTCATAAGCGGCTGCTCCAGCGCAAAGATGTCGCCCGGCTGCGACATGTCGATGTGGTTCAGGAACTGGCCGTCAGGTGGTAGCCCTAGCGCCGGCGTCCCGAACGTCGTACCGTACTCGATGCTCGGGTCCGCCGCGTAGTTCACGTATGAGGCCTCGCCGTTCTGTCCCACTGTTATGTCCCACATGTATTCAGCTAACCCGTCCGCGTCGCCCTCGCTGCAATACGGGCTCCGCTCCTCCACGAGAGCGCCCTTCTCGTAAGGGCAGCTCTCCACATCCGAGCGGAGATTGTAGCGCACTTCTGTTTCCAGAGGCTGCCAACAGGTGGCAGTAGCCGTGGTCATCCAGTCTCCTGGGTTTGCAATGGAGACTGGAGGAGGGGCTGGTGCTGGCTCCTGGTAGGCAGGAGCCGGGCTGGAGCCACTCCAATGGCACATGCACTCGAACGGTGGGCAGGAGCACATGTTCCACGACGTGTCTGAAATAAACCACTCTGTCAAACCCAGTAATCATGATCTGCTCAAGTCGGTGTTTTGCCGCGTGCTTAAGTTTGAGCGAATTTAAAAGTTTTTTTCAAGTAAAAAACTGCCTATACAAGTTGCTGCACACACCGCGCAAAGGGCGTCACGGGGATTCGACGCCAGGCACAGCAAGCCAACGTTCAAGCGTGGTACAAACTGGGTCACAGTGTAGGGAGCACGACCGCCGAGCTTGAAAGGGAAGTTAACGCAGGAGGTTCGCCGGTGACGCTAGGAAAACGCAAGAGGCTAGAAGGCAATAGACTCCCTGCCCCTCCCCCCCCTCCCCTCTGTTCCCAGGTGACGATGCACATGTCCCTTGCACAGCAAGCGTAGCCAACTTCCCTCAGATCGCATAGTTACCTGTCCAAAGTAACATAAATCGTCCGCCCATGGGCGTGCAAGATACGGTCGGTCATGTTTGCTTTGTTCAGTGCATTGGCATCCAATTTGAGACTTGCACAAGCCCAGAACGAATCCATAGCACTCCTAGGTACGATATCGCATCTGCCCCTGCGCGGTCTTAGCGAGTGCCGTGTTTTGTATTGCATTTGAGACAAAGCCTGCATGTATCGGTTTTATATTTAAAACTACTTAAAATTAACTAAAACTAACTAAAATTAATGAAACTAACTGAGCCTTAGCATAACAAATCGGAAGTAATTAAGTTTCTACAGACTGTTCTATACCCAAGTTCTATATTCACATGAAACCATACAATGGTGTGGGCTGTGGAGTATTCTGGCGTGTTTCCAGACAACTGATGGCGTTATTTCACATTTGATGCCAGACAATAACTGATGACAAGCAGCTGTTCCCTGCCTCCATTACAATGACCGCGTCTCGTCTACTATACCGCTCTTTCCCGTTGCTCACCGTCGGCGTGCCAGGAGGCGGCTGGCGGGTGTCGGTCGCCGCCCAGCAGCGCCCTCTCCAGCAGTTTGCCGGCGGGTGCGGCAGGCGGCGCCACCGGCGGGATGCGCGGCGCGTGCCGGGGCCGTCGCGCCGAACCCACCGAGCGGCGAGCCTCCGCCGTCGACTTGGCTTCGGGCCGCGGGTGGCTGTGCACGCCCTTTGCCTGAAGCAGGAGCTGTAGCTCAAAGGGTGCCGGTGGTGAGCGTCTCGAACGTCGGAGGAGGGGGAGGGGGGGGGGGGGGGGGGGGTGAGGAGGGCACATCAGTGTAAACTGCAGTCGTGCAGTCGTTTTGCTGCATTGCTACACCGCAGCCATTTTTCACACATTAAATGCTATCTGCCACGTTTAGGCCACATTTCAAAAACATGTTTTAATGAAACCTAAAGACCACTTTGTCAACTAATAACAATAGGTACCCCCTCTCTAACAAAATTGGCTTATATAGAGTGATTGTGTGTGTGCTTCGGAGTCAGGCGAAATGTGTCGATTTAGCCAGTGATCGGAGGCACCGCCCGCACTCGGCTGGGCGTCAGCTGTCTCAACCGGCTGGCCGACCCACCGCTGGTCCGTCGCCGGCCAGACGATGGACGTGGTATGCAACAAGCACGAGCTGAAAGACCCACCTGTCCCTCATTTACATCTGATCAAGTCGTGACTTTGCGACTTTAGACCAGCACCTTCGAATCCACTAGAGGTCGAGGCGACGAACCTCATCGCAAATAAGCCCCTTTTGCGGAGTGGCATGAGCGAGATGTTAGCAGAGATTATTGCTATATTCATATAATGACATCCAAACATAACCAAACGAAGCCCGTCGCCCTGTGGAAACCATATGGATAGAAATCATTGGAGTGCATTGAAACATGCTGTTTTCATGACGTTTGATGTTTGTGAACACATCATCAAAATATATCACTGAAATATTGCCTGAATTTAGATCTGCTAAGGCTATGGCACTTGAAAGTGAGAACATCGACATGTCTGGAATAGTTGGAGTAGTTCAGCTTTTGTGATGAAAGTTTTGTAGGAAAACGCTCTTGTCTTCAGTGGAAATTAGTCACAGCAAACATGGCTGTGTGCCCATGTAGTTTGTGTAAACCAGTCTGCCTATGGGATAGGACACAGCGTGCAGTATCTGAGTTCGGTTTTGGGACGGTGACATTGGCTTCTCCCCGATCCGTTACTGGTGCTCTGATGACTCGAGGAGTCCTGGGACCGCACTGTCGCTACGACGCCTGGTCGCAAAATTTTGGAATTACTTGCAAACCACGTTCTTGAACTTTTTGAGACACAACAATTGCATTTTCATATGTTCATCAAACGTGGAGTAGAAACGGTGCCGATCTTGTGACACGCCGAAATACGCCGTCTGGTCAAACAGCAGCGCGGATTTAAATGCGTTTGGAACAATACAGCACGACCTGAAAGGAACTTCGTTAATTGTTTGTGAAAACACCATGGTGGTGGGATCAACGGTTGCCAGACATAATCCCTTCAGAAACGTCACTGTCCGAGCCGGATCGCCGAAGCTACAAACCTGTCGTTGGGTCGACGTCAGGACGCATGCAGCCCGCGACTTCGCTCTCGTTACAATACAACTGCAGTAGCAGGATGAAAATGCTTAAAGCATCTTCACAACGCGGGGTTGGTGGCCAGGGAGGCTCATTTGCCTCGCGTTTGGGATATGGAGCTCGCTGCGACAAGCACAGGTGCAGGGCCTCCGATTGCTGGCAAGCAGACGTGTGTGTACTACGGAAATAGCCCCGGTCTGGCTCCTGAGGTCGTGGACCGGGTGCTTCCAGGTCGAGTGTAATTTGAAGAGCCTTGGGGGAGATGTGCTTTGATCTTCCTGGAACTTACGAGGGTCTTCTTAGCCTTGAATCCCCTTGATATTGTGGGAAATGTTGGCACCGCGGGATTTGGTGGCTTCACTCACTTTGATTTATTAGATTCACGAGACACGCTCACCCTCATATGCTCTGGATTCATGACGTGCCTTTCATGGAAAGATCAACCATCTGCCACTAACCCTTTCTTCCTGTTAGGAATTGTGTCCCTTCCTGAAGCAAATCCTGTACACGCCCTTGGTATGCACACCTACTGAGTTACTGCATTGATTTAGCACAGGTACAATGAGCCCCTGCCATAAGCTCGTTCAACAAAGCCTCCGGTGGTGCCTGATGAAGAGCTACACCCTGAATAACGATCTGTTAACTCCATCTATTCTGCGGCGTGGGCCATTGCAGAGAGAGGCTACACGTTTCACTCAGCATGCTATCTGCAGCGATGACCATGCATTATCGCGCTTCCTCGTGTTGTCGGGCGGGCCGGAGGTCCGCAGGGCTCACGCGAGGTTAACTAGAGGCCGCGCTGCAGCGGCCCGGGAGGGTCGGCAAGGGAGGTGCTCAGGCCGCATGAACCATCCAGAGGGGGTGGGGAATGTTGGCAAGAAAGACACCCAGGCAGACCGGCCCGACCGCGAGGGGGGTGGGGAGTGTCGGCAAGAGAGGGTACTCAGCCGCCGGTATCGGCCCAACGTGGTAAGGGCCCAGGAGTGACATACCGCCGCTAATACGACCACCCGCCACCAGAGGCGTGCCGCAGCTGCCAAGACATGGAGGATACGCGCAGTCATCTTAGCCCCCCCCCCCCCCCCCAACTTTGGACAATGACTTGGAAATCTGAACATATGGGACTCGATGATTTGGGGATTTGCATCACCACAAGAATCCCTTAACATAGTTCGCGCCGTGTGTCATGCTCGGCGTAATTCAGATGAATGTGTCTGCCGGTAGTGTTCTGTGCCATATGGTCTTTCAGGCAATAAATACCCATGCAGGCTGTGGTTTCCATGCCCCTTTACCCCCTTTGTATCTCAGTTCGCTTGTTCAGTTATTTGACAGATTTGAACGGTTTTGTTTTCTGGGCACGTTGCTTCTTTTGTACGTTGATTCATTTGTGGCACTGATGTAGTAAGAATTCCAATGTTCAGATTCATACCCGGTAGCTAAGACTCTGTGGTCAATGGCAGGCTGCGCGCGTGGTGCATGCCCCACCGCCGCCACGCCCCGTCACAGCACTGTCACCGGTGGCCCGGGGCTGTTTATGGCCGGACATTCAGCTGAGCTGCGCGACACCGCACAGCGCCTCACCGAGGTGGCCGCGCAGCCCTGCTGTTGGGGTGGGGTGGTTGGGTAGGGGGGACCTCCACTCCTTATAATTGGAGTAGATGCAGGTAATGGTCCAAACAAAAATAAATACAATTGCAGCTGTAGCTTTCAATCATCTGTAGGGAAAGCAGCTACGCTACCTAGCTTTGATACGCGCGCAACATGGGCACAACCGGGACGTATTTTTCTCCGTCATAAATAAAGCAACGAAAGCAGGCTTACGTGTCCTATACAAGTATATGTGCAAAGGTGTCGCTGCCAAGACGTACGAAGTTACAACCATCCTTATATCAGCTGCTGCCGACCGCAAGACAGCACCCACCAGAGAGCACTAACATAACTGATGATATGCACCCCACGAAGCTGGACAACCAGCTGAAAGGGCCATGAGTTATGCAGTTGCTAAGCTAAGCTAGTGGCTAAGTAGGAATGGTCACGTAGTGACTAAGCTGCGTGTCTGGAAAGCCAGAGGAACAGGTTTTGATTCCCCGCGGTGCACGCCCTTTCTGCCAGGCTGAGTGGCACGCGACACCGCCCTCACCGGCTAAGTGCGTCATGAAGCCCCAATGAGAATATGTGCCATGGATCTGAGGACACGCACGCAATGAGTGCATGGTTCAAATAATTCAAATAAATAAACAAATGAACCAATGTACAAACGAAGTAAGAGAAACATGACCTGAGGTACCTCCCACCCACCCCACCTCAACAGCAGGGCTGTGCGGCCACCTCGGTGAGGCGCTGTGCGGCGTCGCACAGCTCATCACAGCCCGGCCATAAACAGCCCCGGGCCACCGGTGACAGCGATGTGACGGGGCAGCGCGGCGTTTGGGCACGCACCACACACGCAGCCTGCCATTGACCACAGAGTCTTAGCTACCGGGTATGAGACTGAACATTGAAATTCTTACTGCGCCAATGGTATGTGCAAAACTTGAAATAAGCTTGAATATGAGATGGGACCTATTTTTGTACACTCAGTGATGATTGGCTTGATGAGCATAGTGGGAAAATACAATTGAATACATAAAGTGGTCTTTGCTCACGATTGGAGAGGTAGCAAGGAGGTGGAAAATATCCAAACAATGGTTAAGGATCCGACTTGCGCCTTATACAGCACCTGAGTAAGAAGATCAACCACCACTCAATACGGCTGCCTTCAAAGACACGGTTTTTAACGATTTTATACTCAGATTCTGAAGAAGGTGCAATCCGAGCATACAGCCACCATGTGGAAGTTTCTCCTTTTCTCTTCGCCATTCCGTTCATGAGCAAAGCCCTGTTGATGATGTGTTTAACTGGAACCTATCTGTATCACAATATGCGCTTTTAATGCTGTTTCTGGTGCTCCGGTTTTGTAAAGATGCAACATGCGTTAAAAATCGACGTTTTTCACTCGCTCGTTTCAGCCGACTGCTACACGTATTGTTTTCAAAAGAAAAACAAAGATAATTTCGAACATGACAATAGCAGATTGCGAGCAAATGTAGCCATCCACCTGGAGGCTGGAGGCCGCGACAACGGCTGTTACGAAAGGTCTTTGCCAGCTACGCCTCGGCAGGAGACCACGCGGCTAGCGGCCAGATGCAGTATGCCGCTGTCTAGTATAGATACATGTTTCGAATAATGGGAACATTTTCTCAAGCAGCGATGCTGTGCATTCTATTGGTGTAAATTGCAGCGCGGAAAATGATAGGATAGTGCCTGAAATTATTCACTTCACAAAGGTCCGCTGGTGGCGTCGGCCTGAGCCCCACCGCGCCGGCGGTGGCGCTGCCGCCGGTGGAGCATCGCTTCCTCGGATCTGGATGCTGCTGAAGCCGGCAGCGCAGTGCTGACCTCGGTCAGCTGGCGTGACGTCAGCGTCACGTGGTCAAAATCCCCAGGTGAACACTTCCTGGTGTCACACTTATGCACTATGGAAATGAATTGCTCTGTCTGTTCGTGAAGCTGCGACACAGGCGCGGGATCATTCGCAGTGATTCGGAGAAGGGAGAAGGGGTGGGATGAATCACTGTACTTTGTTTGCATTGTCTGACTGACACCGCACTGCCCTTGAACTCCGCTGGGACAGGACTGCGGCGGCCAAGGCTGTCCGGGCCTGGCCATGCTGGTGCTCGCCCAGTTCAGTCGGGAGAACCTGTCGTGTCTAGTTTCGCTGGGTTAAACATGTAAGTGGCTCTATCCCTCAGTTCACTGAATCCGCGTAGATGAAGTAAATCTATGTAGATCTTCTGTAGATGAAGTCTATGTAGATAAAGCTGTTCGCGCTGTCAAAGCACACGTGCATGTGTTTGACATTCGGGTGACACGCATGCATGTCATCGGTATGTGTTTGACATCGGGTTTGACATGATGTGGGTACGCAGCATTCAATTTACAGCCTGGCATGTTGACCACTTTCAGTCGCTTTTAATTTGTTTCAATCACTTTCAAGTCTTTTAATCACTGCCTGCGGCAGCGTGCCTCTCAAGGACACTTCAAATGGCATCACCACCGATTTTTTCAGATTGTGGCTTGTGAGAGATAAACAGAAGTTATAATATTTTCTTCAACTTGGCATTCGGTTGAAGCAGCTTAGTGACACCAGGATTGCCTATTGACCCACTCTGTTCACGATTCACATGGCTCACCGCGCTGAGCGCATTGCCTAGCCACAGGAATTATGCTAGGTTTTGAAGTAACTGGTGAATATTCGCCACAATGCATTTCGATGTCTCCAGATCTTGCTGTAATCCTGTTTGGTTCCAATAAAGAGCTCATCTATGCGTAAAATCTGGCCATACGTTTTGTAAATGTGCATTACAGATTGTAATCAGCCGAAAATCGAATTGGTTTGCATAAGGTAAATGTGCATTACAGATTGTGATCAGCCGAAAATCGAATTGGTTTGCATAAAGTAAATGTGCATTACAGATTGTGGTCAGCCGAAAATCAAATTGGTTGCATAAGGCAAATGTGCATTACAGACTGTGATCAGCCGAAAATCGAATCGGTTGCATAAGTTTTGGTCGACCAAATCGTTAGATCCCGGCTGACATCACTAGCGGCAGCAGTCCAGGACATGTTCGTGTTGGTGCTCGGTTTCGCACATACGACAATAAAGCATTCAGATTACAAATAGTTCGTGACTCATCTGTTAGACCGCCAACGGTTTACAAGGTCGGCGCGCCCACACTGACGTGGAGTCCTGAGCGGCCAGCAAGAGCATTGCAACTAGTCACAACTTTAAGAAGTTCCTCACGAAGACCCCAAGGCCACATACGCTGCATGCAAACTCCAAGTCACACCCCAAAGGTGGTGTGACGCAGATGTTGTCCGTTCCGGTAGCTCAGTTGGCCTTCCGCTTCACCCATACATGACTGGGTGGGTTCGGGTCGCTTTAGGTGCTCGCTATTTGCACCCTGACCGGGATGGCCTGAGACCGGTGGCAGCGGCCGCGCTAAAATTCTGGTGACGTCAGTGCACAGGACGGACCGTACCGAGCAATGCGACGCGTCAACCTTTTGTCTCAGAGTTCTACAGCGGACCCAGATTTTGCGACCGAATGTTAGGGTCAGGGTTAACGTAACAATCACTGACCAGCGTGGGTGCCGACCCCACAACTTCATTCAATCAAAATATTCGGATCGAGTCCAGGAATCGGAGCTGGTACCGCTGCTCAGAGGGATCAGAGCTGGTACCGTTGCTCCGAGGGATCGGTTGTAGCTGTTATCGCTGCTCCGAGGGATCGGTTGGAGCTGGTATCATTGCTCCGAGGCATCGGTTGAAGCTGATATCGTTGCTTCGAGGGATCGGAGCTGGTATCACTGCTCAGAGGGAACGGTTGGAGCTGGTATCGCTGCTCCGAGGGATCGGTTGGAGCTGGTTTCGCTGCTCCGAGGAATCGGAGCTGGTGCCGCTGCTCCCAGGGATCGGTTGGAGCTGGTATCACTGCTCCGAGGGATCGGAGCTGGTACCGTAGCTCAGAGGGATCGGAACAACTACCGCTGCTCAGAGGGACGCTTCGAGGGATCAGAATTGGTGCCGTTGCTCCGAGGGGTCGGTTGGAGCTGGTGTTGCTGCTCCGAGGGATCGGAGCTGGTGCCGTTGCTCCGAGGGGTCGGAGCTGGTATCGCTGCTCCGAGCGACCGGAGCTGGTACTACCGCCCCCAGCTCTGCTGAGGCGCGACACGTTCGCCTCAACAGTCTCCCGGACCGCACTCGGGCCTCACCTGGAAGAAGGTGGCGAACGGCGTGTGCCTCCAGAAGTGGGTGACCGGGTAGCCCTGGTGGCCGCGGCACGGCAGGATGGCCAGCTTGCCGCTGCAGCGAGCGTTCGGGCACGGCTTGCCTGCAACGGCGGAGTGTGTGCTCTCTCAACGTCTGACCGTGGCTTATTGTGCCCGCCTGTGTTGGTCAAATGGAGCCAAACGGGCAGCCCGCGTACGCCTTGATCTCCAAGGCATTGGATAAATCAGGATATTTGTGTGCCAAAGCAGTGGTTTTGGTGTCGTAATTAGCTGAATTGTTGGATGGGTTTGGTCTGGCGATGGCTGTTCTTTACCAGCGCCACTCTGACCATTGATGGAGAACTCTAAAATGAGTATCTCTCAACCGTTAAGTGTTTACATCGACCTACTTCGATTTAATTACATAATGTCGATTCCGTGTGTGGTGATCCGATCTTGTCTGCTCCCACAGATACTGTGCGCCGCTTGGGGGGGGGGGGGGGGGTTCGAGTCGCTCTGTTTAGAAAACTGCAACGCTTACTCAAGGGTCATAGGTGGTAGCATGATTTTGCCGTCAAGACGTTTGCTGCACGCGTGGCACGGAGAACTGAAATCCATTTGAAATGAAGATTGTTAAAAAAATACAAACATACCCTTTCGATCAGGGCGTAGCTTTGCAAAAATAAATTGGAGGGGCCTCAGCGGGAAAAATGCTATACCTACCACTAACATAAAGCCAAAAACAGACATCTCCCGGAATTGTACGCACTTTCCTCCCAAAAGTTGGGGTAGAATGCCCCCCCCCCCCCCCCACCTCCCTCCCCAACCCGCCCTAAATGGAGAGGAAGCTACACCATTGCCCTAGACAACACTATTTCGATGAATCGTGTGTTGTGCCGACACATAGAGGACACACGCCACACGTGCGATCCGTGATATTAAGCCATGGGTGTCTGTCATGAAGTGCCTACCGAGACAGGTGGCCAAAGAGCAAGCGAGCACAATGCAAACCCTTGGAAGTGCATACCGTCAATCGACCTTGCATCGATAGTTACGATGTTCACGTCAATGAGTCAACCGATATATCTCAAACAGAAGCAAAAATAAGTACATTACCAAAGAATGGGTCCAAAACTAAAACAGCTTGATACGAAGATAATTTTTTAAATTCTAGACGCGATAGATGTAGAGGGGCAATGGATTCGCCTGTTACGGTGAGGGTCTCCACCTGACGCGACGCTAGCCCAGGTACCGCTTCGAGGCCTTACCCTGCTGCTTGCGCCTAGCCTTGTCGCAGATGGCCGGCCGAAGGTGGACGAAGTTGCCGTCCTCGAGCGCGCAAGAGTTGGAACACACCACCACGCCCAGGCAGCTCTTCTTCAGGATGCTCACCTGCCAGCAGATGCGGATCGGTGAGCAGGTGTCGGGGGGGCGCGCGCGCGCCGCCGCCGCCGCCCGATCAGCATGGGCGGCGCGCGGCGCCGGCAGCTGGCGCGGGACGCCGCCCTCGGCCGGTCCGCTTCGGGTGCGTGGGGGGCGGCGCCGGGGTTGGCCGGGCCCGGGCGCCGGCCGCCGGCCGACTGCGCCGCCGTGCGGGCCCGGCCGCCGCGCCGCACCGGACTCCGCCACCACCCCGCGCCGTACCGGCGACAGCTGGCGCCGCAGTGGCGGGCGACGGCGGCGCGCGGCGCCGGGCGCGGCCGGGTCAGAGCGGTGTCCGGCCTGACACACCGGCGACAGGTGCCCGGAGGCGCCTCAGCCGCCCGCCGCTGGCCGCCGGCCGCCGGCGCCGTCGCAGCGGCCAGGCCCACTCACGTTGTGGTTGTTGGTGTTGCGCATGGCCCAGCCGGAGGTGTGCTTCTTGGCGTCCTCCGAGTCGGGCGCGTATACGCGCTGGAAGTCACCGTCCGGCCACTCCTCGAACTCGCTGTACCGCACCACCTGTCGCCGCGGCAGAGGGGTCAGGTCAGCGCGCGGCCGGCGGGACGCCCTCCAGGCCTCTTACTTAGCCAACGGGGACACTGCTGGTAGTAGCTGAGGTGGAGGAGTCCCTCACATCGTGGTGGTGCCGAACCAACTTTGAAGTCGATGCTTTCCATTTGTCGCTATAATGTTACTATTCAGCATTCTCAGAAAAGGTGGGAAGGGGACATGGCATCTGTACTTGTGCCTGCATGGCATCTGCACTCGCATGATAGTGCTCGTGCCATCTTTCTACTCAGCGAATAAAGGTCGTGTTCACCCATTTTGCCTCCCGTTTGCCAGTTCCACAACGCCTCTTTAAAAGAAAGGGTTTAAGAAGCGTTGAAAAGCTTCCTTGCTCATACGTTTACTGCTGCCGCTGTCCTAAGACTCGATTGCACATAATCGCGCCAGGATGAACCGTCCACACCAAGTACCACCAACCGACCAGCACGCTGGGGCTGCAGCCCTCTGAACATAGCATGACACGTGGGTAACCGAAAACGTCTGGTGTTATGTCATGCGTGATCAAAAATGCAACTTACATTGCCGTAGTTGACACGCGTGCTTATACCCTTAACCAAAGGTCGCACTATACAGTGAAAGCATTTAGATATATCGATAAGCTTAAGGTGAAATCTACAAATAGTTAGCTAACTGGACAATGGTGACTTTCAAATTTCCCATTTGAACGGCATTGATTTATCAAACTAAAAAAGCCTTAAAGGTAGGTACCAAGCGACTTCAAAACATTTAGAGCCTGTTTTCGGATTACTAGCACAAAAATTGAGCCCATTTGCCCAATACCCACAACTGCCTGTTGTCCATCAGGGATGAAGCCAGGATTTTCTCAAGAGGAGCCTATTAAGGTCGGAGGAGCCTGAACCAAGGCTATGTTGTATTTCCTCGCACATCTCCCGCACAGAGGTACCTTGCAAAAAGATAGGCAAAGTCATTTTATCTGAAACGCGACAAAATTGCATTAAAAGCATGTTACCATGAACTTGGCCTTTACAAATGTATTTTATGCCAAAGGAGAAGCGTCCATTCAGTACCACTCTCGGTTTTCGGATATCTGAAGGCAGTAAATAGCAATTTTCTGTTCTTCAGACATGTTTTATGGTTTCAAAGTTCTAAATTACCATAACTGTTAGGCTCTATATCTAATGATCAGCCTGTATCTCAATAGAAGTGGCGAGTCCTTATGTTGAGCATAACCGGCCTTCGATGCACCAACAGGCACTGGTTAAACGACTTATATTCATGTTCGATGCACCAACAGGCACTGGTTAAACGACCTTATAGGCATTGGCTATGTTGGGAAATATCAACGATTCGAGGATCCGTGTATGGTCACCACACGAACCGGTCATCGAAACAGCTTGGAAAGATGGAGTTTTTTTCAAGATAACCACTACTGCTTGATATCGTCGTTTGGCCAGTATCTCGTGGTATATCAAAGATAAAGAATAAAGTTGCAGTGATATGTTGTCATCCGTGGCCTCATCCATGGGCTTAATGGCTTCACCAGTCCGACATATTCACAAAGTGATGTCGCTGTCTCTCGATGCTGTCGTTCCTGTCTTCCTGCTGTCGGCGCGTCCTTGCCTGCCATGTTAGCACCTAAAACGATTTTCCTCCCCTGGACGTGACCTAGGTGATGCAAACTTTGTTTGATTAACTTTATTTCATCGAAGTATGTATGGTATAGTGCCTTAACCCTTAACACGGGGCAAAGCCCCCGGCGTCCTTTCGCCCTATGTACCGACTTCTCAAGTTGGTGTGAGCGGGAATTTTACGTAAAATGTGTTTCAGCCAGATGAGTGAAGGGGGTCCAAGGAGCGCTGAAATTTGCTGCCACGGGAACGATTCTGGAGGAGGTATCAGCTGCTTGCGCGCAACACAACCAGTTTTGTCGCACTGACGGCGAATGACAACGAACGTTAATGTTTCTGGAGGCGTTTGTTCAAAATGGTAGATATTTATAACACAGAATAGTGACATGTCTGTAATAGTTATAAAAAGGACTTTATAATCAATGTACTTGCACCAAGCTGCACACCTGTACTATGTTTACTTTATGTGACAGTAAATGGGGCCAAAAAGCGCATAATGAATGGCACCAATTATGTCTACCACAGCCTCCTCTAGCCTCCTCCGAAAAAACTTTTAGCTCCGGGGACGTTGGAGGAGGTTTGGGGCGAACTTTGAAAAGCTTGGAGTAGGTTGGAGGAGCCACGGGAACGATCAGATCAGCTTAGAGAGCTTGGATGAGGTTAGGGAGCGGCAGGAACAGACCCATAGCAATGCAGTATTTCGGCTGATGCCTCGGCTTCAATCATACGTTACAATTGGTGGCAATCTGAAGCTTGCGAATGCCTAGTTGTGTTTTAGTGTTCCCAGTTCAAGTCAATGATAAGTTTACTTGTTGGTGTCAGGAGTAGTGTGTCCAGCACCAGCCCAGCTATTCGGTTTTGTAATATCTGTAGTCGGTTCGTGGTCACGACAGCTGGGTTTCTATCGTATACTATGCCGCAATAGTCGATGCGTGGCTTTTGTATATGAGTGGAAGGTCACACATTTGGAACACATTATAAAAGCGTATTCTGGTGAAACACAAGAGGGCGGGGGTAATGCACGGATTTGAGACATGAAGTAAAGGATCTTCAGCACAGAACAGCTCGTCGCCTGTAGTGCCGTCGCTCGAGTCGCTGAGACGGATGAGGTCCGAGCATCAAGCCTACGGGTCAGCCCGCAGACATGTTTTGAGGTTTTGAGGTGTTAGCCTCTACCCTTTACAACTTAGGCTCTGTCAGAGAGACAACATTTCGGCCTTGTGGGGAGAGGGCCGGAGATGCTACACTAGTTTTCGTGTTTCTAAAGAAGTACGATTTTATTGGAATGCTTGAAATATCTAAGTACGTTGCCGTCGTATTTCCGTTTTTCTCGTGCAAAATAAAGATGGTAGCTAGACAAACTGACCGAATTTGCGTACAGTGGCCGCCAGACGAGTATCCATTCCTTTCTCAGACAGAACATTGCTAGTGAGGCGAGAGTAGATCCGATGAGAGATCTTGTTGAAAACAAACCTCTCCAGTACTTCACAGAGACAGAACCATTTGTGCCGGAACAAAGAAAAGGGGAGGTTCTATCGAGTATTGCCATATACGGTACGGTCCAGCAGGGTTGTTCGATCTCGCCCTCCTTATCAAAATTGACCGCAAACACCCAGGGGTGAAAAAGCTTCTAATTTACCGAATATGTTAGGTGACAAAAACTGACACTTTTGCGAAGCCATTGGTGACAAAATTTCAAAAATGAAAACAAATGTCATCCAATCAGACCATCTCACAACAGATCATTCCAGCTAGACGAAGCTCAAGGCCTGGCATTGGTCTGCACTCGCTCATGCATGCAGCGTGAGCATGTGTGGAGCACGTGTCGAAACGTTGATGGTTCGCTGTATGAGCAAGCTGAGCCATAAGATGCTGCCAAACATAGCAGCTTTTATAAGAGTAGTTTTCAGCAGGTGACAGAAACATACTGCAAACTATGCTGTATGAGTGCTGACATCACAGATCAGTGGTGGTGACACAGCGTTTTTGCAATGCCCCTCACATCAGTGCTTTTCACAGGTTTTCCAGCCGAGATTCCTCTCACGTACTTAACAGTGTAAAATACCAAATAACTAGGCTTATTACTATTCGTACGGACCGTGGCTGACTACAGCATTTTGCGACGAACGTAATCAGTTTGCTGCGCAGAATTTTGAAGCGTCCTGCCATTTGAGACAGATGGACCAAGGCTATCTAACGAAGTAGAACCGTCCGGTCCGAAAAAGTGGCAACATAGAGCTTGCTTGAGAAAAGAGGTAATTTGGAAGCAAAGCCTGCGTGACGTCAAGTATAACCATATTTGATGACGTCAGTGGCACGGAGGCCTCTCAGTTAGCCAGCTGACTGTTACACAACCCATTAGTTTGAATAGTGAGCATGTTTTAATGGCGTGCGGCTGGCGGTTCCCCGTTGGACTGAGAAGAAATTATCCGTCATTTCGCTATTCGCACACATTTCTGGAATGAGCAGTGAATCCTGGAACAGTTAAGCCTCATCGGAATGTACGATTTTGCATTTATGATGATATAACACGGGGTTATATGTCATGCGGGCATTTGTGGCGTATTGCATTCCATGACCAGGCTTGTCGTTAGATAGCCTTAGCCTTGTCTGAGCCGTTTGTGCCTGGTGGCAGAGTTGAACAGCTCATCTTACATAATTTACTTTGCCTGTAGGTATGACTATATGAACATTTGCAATATTGATTTGTAATAGCTCTCGCTCTTCTTATCACGGTGATATGAGTGCAGTAAGGTAAGTACAGTAAAACCCTATGATATTGGCTTTATGATGCTAATGTCAAGTGTTTCTTCACATCAGGGTTTGTACACATATGCATAATAAAATGTTCACAGACTGAGCATTTTAAATGCTACCAATTGTTCAAGACAAACTGCTCAGGAGATCTCTCGTACGACACGTAGTCATGGCAACTGGCAACAACCCACTGATATAAAGCACCAAGCAACTGCGACACGCGATGTGCTACAAACGCCGCATGACGTTTAACCCCTAGTTATGTACACCTCACGGAAGAATATACAATTCTGATGAGGTCAAACTATTCCGAGATTCAATCTCCCTTCCAGAATTGTGTTTGCATGAAAAAACTGTGGACCACTCATCCAGAGTCCAACCAGGAAGCGCCAGCCCCACGCCCCCCAAACATACTATTCAAACTAGTGGGTTGTGTAGCAGTCAGCTGGCTAATTGAGAGGCTTCTGTGCCACTGACGTCATCAAATATGGTATACTTGACGTCACGCAGGCTTTGCTGCCGAACTACCTGCATTCTCACGCAAGCTCGATGTTGCCACTTTTTGATAGCGTTAAACGATACGGATGACACCCCCCCTGAGATGGG